ACACATTTAATTTTGTTGACATCCAAGATGAGGAAGACTGAATGCAAACAATTAAGGACTGGTCAAAGGGAGCCGTTACGCGTAAAGAGGATTAATTATAGAAACTTCAGCAGAGCAGATTAGCACCTGCTGTGCATATCTTTTGTTCCAAACTTCTTTGAAGCTACTTACCAATTGGAACACAACGAGAACCTGCCAGTATGGAAATGATTTCCCCTTGATGAACACTTGTTCCGTGCATGGTTACTGGAGGCGCGCATTCCTTGCCAGTTTTAGCATTCCGGGATCCATTCCAACAGGCTGATCGACTCCTCAGCATTGGAGGGCTCGACCGCTCGAGCAGCCCCGACTCCACCGAACTACTCAGTAAAGAATCCCATTGAACAAGGTTCAATTGAAAGTGGAGGAAGGGTCTTTCCCGGATATCCACACAAGCTCTGGGACTAATTCATAGGGTAGTATCATGATTCATGACGCTTACATTCGGTACGTCATTTCACCGTTATGGGTGCTTCCCATTAAGGACCGGCCCTTCTCCAATTGAGAAACACACCAGGGCTGCGCGTACAAGCCGGCCAGTAGCTACTCCCATTGTTAATGATCAACGCTCGCCATCATTGGTGTGCACAGAGGGTTCTCCTCTGGGGCCCTCGTATGACTGTCCTGCTGATACGACACACCCTGTTTCTGGTATAGTAAAGGTTGCATTCCACCAAGTGGCTAATGGAGACATCCGAGCATTTCTCTGTCAATGAATGTGGGCAAGCTCCAGAGGTGTCCATTCAGCCACCCAGTTTTCCAGCTCCGGTGATTGGTCGGAGCAGGGTACTCAGGCATTCAGGTCAAGCAATGGGCCTAGGGTGGACCATATGGGGAGCTTCCCATCCCCCTCTGGTGCATTCCTTACCCATCTTTAGAGCGACTGGAATGTGTGTAGAATCCCAGAGGCTGGGTCCTCCGCGCAACGATTCAAATACAGGCCTCTGGCTGTTGTTTGTTTTCTTTGTCTCCTTTGCATCTTCTGCAGTGTTTTCTTTGATTGTCAAACCATCAAACCACTCCTACACACCAAACATTCCAACATCGGTCGCTGCTGCAGAATCGAAGCTCTTTCTGGACGGATCGCCGGCTAAGGATCCGCAGTTCCCTTCGACCCAGAGTATACACTGGTCGCCAATCAGGTTGGATCCTGCCCACCACTTTGTTGGTAAACGTTCTCTTTGACAGCTGAGGTTGGAACCACCATCGCCGCAAACGGAAAGGGAATATCCGACAAGATGTTTGCACAACCGTTCGACCATTCGTTCAACAACGATGATTTATTCAGTCAGTACGTCAATATTGATGGCTCGAGTACCGACGGCAACAAAGACGTTTCATTCCCTAGCGACTTTGATCAATTCTTTTCCCTGGACTCATTGTCAAGTAATTGTGGCGAGCAGTCGCCTATCATCCCCACGTCCAAACAACAAACCCATCCTTCACCAAACTGGGCGAAGGATCTCTGGAGCCTGCCGCCAGATGCACCCTCATCTCTAGGCCAAGCCCCCCTTGCATTTCAAGACACCATCCATCCCTCTGCTGTTTCAGATCTAAACGTCAACCTTGAAGCTTCTTCGACGACTCGCCCTGCAGAGACCCGCTCGTCGCCGACAACTCCCCCGGGAACTCCACGCCGTAAACCAAAAAGTGCATTAGTCACTCCGAAGTCTATCCAACGTCACCGCGAACCTAATGGTCGCCGTGGTTTGCAGCACAAACAAAGCTTCTCCCCCAGCCTGACACGTCCTTCTCAGTTCCAGAAAAAAGGAAGAATGGCGTATCAAGAAGCTTGGGCGCACCGACTTCAGAACTTAAATTTCCTGCGTAGTGCCGATGACCGATTCCCACTGTCGCCGCCACCGTCCGATATCCTGCCACAACAAGAAAACATAGCGGCTGACAACAGCGCCGTACACATCCATCATTCGGGAGATTCTGCCGAGATGCATCATCACTTCGACTCTAGCATTTTCACTCCATCGCCTGCGATATCCATGCCATCGCCGTGTACGGGAGTGTTATCAAGACAGCAAGCCCGGTATTTAGGCCACTCCAATAACTCCACTGTGACTTCGAGCCCTCCTTCAGCAGACGACATCTTTCCCTCCCCGCATTCCTCGGATCCCCAGTCCATGTCCTCCTGGCATTCCGATACGCTCGGCACTCCCGGGCTGTCTTTCACGCCTGATCTTCAGAGCCACGATGCTCAGGCCTGGTGGCCTCCTATGAATGCTCGGGTGCCCCAACGTCAGCATTCCTATCAACAAATCGTCGCGTCGCCCCCTCCACAACAGCCTCTCCAGAGCAACCCCCATCAGCATGACTTGGCCAATAATCAACATGACATCCTGCAAGGAGGTCTCATGATCCAGATGGATCCCTCTGCGTATGACATGACCGCGACGGCCAATTCATCGTTTTCCTCGACTACCATGGCTCCGACGGTGTCCAACTGTCAGGAGAACCACACTTATAGCCACATGCCAGCCGCTCACCCTAAATATGTTGACACATCTTCCTTTGCAACTGCCCAGCTTCAGCCCCAATCGCGGTCTCCATCTCTGTCTCCGCGAGCAGATCGATCCCCCAAGGATGTATTAGGCATGCATCACAGCATCACCATGAAAGCTCAGCGCCGTCAGCCCGGCCGGAAGATTTCCTCCAACTCCATGAATGTCCCCAAGCCCGTCAAGGGATTCCATGGGTCGGAGAGCCCCAAGAGAGCCGGCAAGTCGGTAACTGTATCATTTGTAAACTTTACGCCAAATGACAGTCAAAAAATTCTCACAGGAGTTGCCCCCAGTGGCAGCTCCAAAACCAAAGCGCGCCGGGAACAAGAAGCCCGTGACCGGCGTCGCAAGCTTAGCGAAGCCGCACTTAATGCAGTACGGAAAGCCGGTGGAGATGTGGAGGCTCTCGAGGCTGCGCTGAGAAACCCCGTTAGTTGCAAGGATAACAACCAGGCATCCGCCTTGCAAGTAACAGGGTATTGCAACTAACCCGGGGGGGGATGTTTCAGCCCTTTGCTAAAACTGGAGGTAATCCCATTTGCCTGTTTGTTTGTTTGTTTTAGTTCTGCTATATACCTTTTTGTCATTTATATTACTTCATATTGAGTGTTTTCAGTCGGTCTGTTCGGTGTTCTGATGGATCCGGAGTCTAAAACACTGAATCTGTTTGAGCGTTAGATTTGTCCCTGACATCTTAATCAGCCCACCGGGCCGTCTTACCTAAACCTAATCTGGCATAATGTATTCCACCTTGATGTACATATCGAGTCTGCAAAAGTACTACAAATGCCACACCTCTTTCAAATATAATTCTGATCTTCTCATTGGTTAAGTCTTCTTTATTGGTGGATTAATTATAATATCGGATCGAACTTCATGTGAAAGCCGCGAATGTCTTGGTGGACACTGACATGTAAGAAAGTCTTCTAGCATATAGCACAACTATTATACACAGAGTCCATCACACCCCAAAAGAGCATGAATCTCATAAAATACATATCTAAAGTACAAAGAATCAGTTCAAACTCCATTTTCCAATATGAAGTAGTATTAAACCACTCGGAGAATATCATTATATCCAGAGCCCTTGAATGGGCCTGAACCCAGCCTTGCCCCAGATCACCAGCAGATATAGCGCAGTCGTGTCCCCATATTTCTCCGACGGGAGAAAAGCGCAATACAGCTTTGAAACCAAAGCTACCTGATAATTCCGAGCCATAACAAGCCACAGAGTAACCGGGCCACGAACTGGAATTGACAGCGCTCAATCGCGACAGTCGGGACGTAATCATTCAAACGGCGCGTGTAATCTACCGACGAGATAAAGATCGACAATCCTAATTTCTATCCCGTCCTTCAACCTCATCGTTGAGACGGTTTCGGTGTCCAGGTTTGCGGCTCCCACTCCTGGCTAGGAGCTCCTCGGGCTGCAGCCCAGGGGTCCTTTTTAGCGGCGAGGGTCTCGGCATTCTCTGCTTCTTTCTGTTGGGGTGGAGGGGCAGTATTGTTGCCCTGCGTGGATGTATTCATGGTCGCGTCTGTCGTTTGGGTTGCTGGCGCTGGTTGTTTGGTCTGTGGCATGTCGAGGTAGGAGGGCTTGCTGGCCCAGCGCTCATCGGCTAGCCGAGCCAGTTGCTTGATTTGAATCTGGCGGAGGACATCTTGTTGCTGTTCTTGGACGGAGGGTGGTTCGGCTCGGACGTAGCGGAGCCACTGGTGCCATTGTGCTGGATTCCCATTTTGTCAGTTCATGGCTGATTTCTTAGCAGGTCCGAGAGCGGAGTTAAGTAAAGTAGATGAAAAAAAGAAGGCAGATGTACTTACGGCTCACTTGGACGTCGGCGTAATGGGTTTTAGGATTGAATTTGACGATCCGTCGGTATCGTGCAGCATTCAGGGCATCTTTAAATTCCCAGAATGTGTTTCCGGAGAGATCCGTTCCTATTGCAAGGACATTTAGGGTGAGACATTGCTGATGACTCGGTAGCAACGCTGAGGTTGAACATACCAACGAGGAAGGATTTTCGCCACGGCAATCGAAGGCTCTTCCACTTGAACCACAGACTATTCACCGGACTCATTGGGGGCCGATCGAGGAAAGGAATCAGGCGGCTATGAATAGTGAGAAAATAAAATTTGAGGAAATCGAAGCAGCGTCATCCACCTTGACTTGAACGGGGGGCTTAGACTTAGGCACCGAAGGGATTCATTGAAGGACGGACGTCATCGGGTAAGGCAGGGCTGTGATAGGTCACGGTATCACGGCTTAGTCGATCTACAGGAGGAGAAGGACAACAGCATTCCATTCCATTCATTTCCTTCCCGGTTCCTTATGAACAGGTATATTCTAGTTTGTGTTAATTCACTATTCTACTACTTGGTGTTTTTTTTTTCTTTTCTCTCTTATATTTTTCACCCCCTTTTCATTTCCACTGTTCTTCTCCTTACTTGGACGCTACTTTGTATATAATCCACCGAACTATTCGATTCTAGATCCATTCAATTTGCCTCTTCTATATCAGGAGGTACCGCCTCCTATTTCGCCCCCCTGGTTCCCGTACCACGGTTCATGCCAACGGCTGGCGACATAAACAGTCGATTCCATCTGTCGGTCGTAGTGAGAAAGAAGTCTACTCACGACAGACCGATCGTTTCAGATAAAATCTGAATCTCAAACATGGCTTCCGTTACGTCACTGGATAAGGATTTGCGCAGTCTGCGCCTGTCCCGCTATACCCCGCAGGCTGCCGCAGAAGTCCGCAACTGGATTGAAGAAGTCCTCCATGAAAGACTACCAGCCGGAGATCTTCTTGATGCGCTCAGGGATGGCGTCGCACTGTGCAGGTAAGTTAGATACTTAGATTTCTTGCATACTCCGATCGCAATTCGCCATACTAACATAACCCTAGGCTGGTCAATCTTGCCGTTTCCCCCGGTGTCAAGTATAAGCAGTCATCGATGCCCTTTGTACAGATGGAAAACATCTCACACTTCCTTCGCGCGTGTCAAATCGCACCCCTGAGCCTTCCTCCGCATGATGTTTTCCTCACTGTCGATCTTTATGAGGCCAAGGATCCCGCACAGGTCCTGCAATGTCTGATGGCTTTCAGTAGGAGGGCTAATGCTCTCCAACCTGGCAAGTTCCCTCGCACCATTGGTCCTCAGAGCAAAGTTGGTGGTTTAAGCCCCAATGCGACCGGTTCCAGTCAGGGCGCCCATACACCCTCTCGGCCACGGGGGCTCAGTAACGCAAACTCCAGCGCCTCTGGATACTCAAGCCCCGCCAAATCTCCAGGTCCAGTGAGCAGTTGGAGCAAAAGAACGGATGAGCATACGACAATGCCAGCTTGGAACATCCACCAGTACGGCTATATGGGCGGTGCTAGTCAAGCCAACCAAGGGGTGGCGTTTGGTGCTCGTCGACAGATCACGACCGCTGCACCAAATGTACCGAGTCTAGCTGAAAAGGAGAAGCGCAGGCGTGAAGAAGAAGAGCGCCAGCGCTTAGAATTCGAGGAGTCTGAGCGCAGACGTCAAGAGCGAGAGGCGGAAGAAATGCGTGCGCGAGCAGAAGAAGAGCGTCGATGGGAGGAGGAAACTGCCCGTCTAAAGGAGCAAGAGCGGCGCAAGCTTGAGGAAGAGCGAAAGCAATGGAATGATCAACAGCGGCGGTGGGAAGAGGAGGAGCAGCAGCGTCAGCGCGAGGAGAGAGAAGCCGAGGCGAGGCTGGAGAGCGAGAGGCTGCGCCGTCGGGAAGTCAACGATACCCGCCTGAATGGACAGTTCCTCAGTCAATACCAAGCAAGTCAAGCTACACTGAGCCAAGCTCCCGCCGAATCCTCGGAAAGCCGGCGCATAAGGGAACTCGAGCAAGAGTTGGAGACCGCTAAACAAAGAGAGGCAGAATATCAGCGCGAGCGCCAGGAGCTACAGGAAAAACAAGCCGCACCTGCTGCGACTCGTGCACCTCGCCCGGTACCTGTACCCCCTAAGCCGAGCTACGATCTGTCCTCGCTCGAGTCGGAACGCCGTCTACTTCGCACAGAGTGGAACAAGCATCAGAACGAAGAGCCAATTCCTGAAGCGGCGAGCCCCCTCCTTCCCTACCTTCCCTACCTTCCTTACCTCCCCGGCCACTCCCCGAGCCAGTCGCTACTTCACCCCGGCCCCTTCCGGACCCAACGCTTTATGCTGCGAAGCCCGTGAATCAAGAAAGTCGCGTAGATCGTTTCCTCGCATCTAATCGACCTCCCGTCGCACCCAAGCCGGCCACCCATCGCCCACAAGACTACACAACGACTGCCGAGGTCGACGCGGAAAATAGCCGCCGCGCAGCAGCACAGCAGAAGACCAAAGCGGGCGGATGGGCGTCCAAGTCATTGCTGGAGCGTGAAATGGAGCGCGAGCGCGAGCGCCAGCGTGAGTGGGAGGAGAACCAAAAGCAAACGCAACAGGCCGCTGCCAACGGCCTGAAAGATGGTAGTCTCGGTGTTGGGCCGGGACAAGGGGCTTGGGATGTGCACCAATACGGCTTTATTGGCGGTGACAACCAGAACCGCGGCGGTCCTGGCCTGGGAGTTGGAGGCGCAAGGAGACAAATCATTGGCCCCCGTCCTCCTCCATGATCACAGATGTTGAAATCCAGATCGTATTTCTAGTCCAAACTTCTATACCTATTTGTGTTTACCTGTTGATGGCGGTTAGTTGTGTTTTAGAGTTTGGTTCCATTACTGTTTCAAAATCTTGGTGGCTAGCTGTAGATAAGCTGTGAGCAACTTGAATAGTTCATTCAATCCAGATATATAAAAAAGGCCAAACCACAACAACAATAAAGGACACCGGTAATATGCTAAACGCACACAGACAACAAGGGTATCTATACGCCAAACTCAAGCCGTCGAGAAACAGAATCCCCCACAACGTTCTCCCCCCTCACCTTCGAACAACCAAACCCTAACATGCGGAACCAGATCACCCGTCCGAATCTTCCGCACGGGGAAGAACCTCCTCAACAAGAAACCTCAACCGCTCCCCACTCTCCAGCAACCAGCACCACTCCGCATCTTCCGATTTGCGCGCACTCACGCTCTTCTTCGTCTCCGTTTGGGCTCTCTCTGCACGGCGCTGGATACCCTCTTCCACCGCTTCTTGCAGCTCCGTAGTCACCCTTAGCATGTCGCTGTTTGCGAGTAGGATCAGTAGTGTCTCAAGGAGAATCGACATCTTGGTGTTGTCCACTACGCTGGTCGAACTTGCCGCGTAGGGGAGGAAACATTCTTCGAGCTTTGTTTGGTTGAGATACTCCTCCTCGGTGTCCGGGGCTGCGCTTTCGCGGATGCGGAAGAGCAGGCATTCGCAGAGGGTTGTGCACGCCTCTGAGGAGAAATAGGGTAGTGTTGACGGGGCGACGAGAGCCTGGAAGACGGGGAGGGGGAGATGGCGGATGTTTTCGACGAAGAAGTGGTAGAGTTCCTCGAGGGGGGTGAAGGCGTCGGGGAGAGTCTCCGCTACACCAGAGAGGAGGTGGAGGAGACGTTGGCGGAGAGCCAGAGATTGGAAGCCGCCGTGTGAGGAGACATCGCTGAGGGCGTAGACTGCTGACGTGGGATTGACTGCGTCGGTTGATTTGGCGTCTTTGGCGCGGGTGCCTCGTCGGGGCCGTTTGGTTTGTCGGGTTGGTCGTTTTGAGGCCGTGCCTGGGTCGATCTTGTTATTGTTGTCGGAAGAGTCATCGTCGTCGGTTAGATAGTCGCCGTATTGGTCTTCATCGATGTTGACCTGCACTTCGCGTTTCTTGGTATTCTTGTCTTGCTTTGGTTTTTTCAGCTCGTGGTGGAAGACCTCGCGGAATTCGTTGGCAGAGGCCGAACCCCCGTCTGCGAAGATCGCACGGAGGATCCGTCGGTTGCGTCCATTTCCTGCCGTTGTTTCTGTTATGTAGCGGAGGATCAGACTGTCTTTGAGGGCTTTGTGATCGGTGTTTGAGGCGTGGTCGCTCATTCTTTTGCGTTCGTTCCAATCGTCTTCGAGCACTTCGCACATGTATTCGAGCCAGATCTGCCACCTTTCCCAGCGTTCACGGTGGAGCACGGAACAGTTAAAAGCCCATCCGACTGCGTGCCAGAAGTCCTCTGCGCGGGACCATACGGAGGCAGACTGGGCCAGGTCGAGGTTCAGTGGTTTCATGTCATCGTCGGGTGGGTGCTCGTCTTCGGCGCGACGGCGGCGTCCCTGGCGAGAGGTCTCAAAGTGGGTGAAGGAGAATGCAGTTCCCAGTTTAGCCGATACTGGGCCGGCGAGGGTGTTTGCGAGGCGGAGGAGTCGTAGGGAGACATTGGAGGCTTCTTCTTGCTCGGCGGTTTTCGCCCGGGTGGTGGTGGAGGGATGGACGAGGAATGTCGCGGCGAGAGCGAGATGCTGGGGCGATGGGACGTAGACTGGTGTTGGGGGGATTGTGCCCGTGGTGATGATATTTAGGAGTAGGTTTAGAGCTTGTGTGTCTGGATAACGGATGCCGCGGTCAGTTCGATGGTCAAGTGAATTGCGGGGAGTGAGGGGAGGCGGACAGAGCTTCTCTTCAAAGAAAATGCCTACATGTTGGACCAGCTCAAAGGGAAGTGTCCTAGCAGGACGGTAGAGAGGCGAGGATGCCTCTTCGTCTGCCACAGCCATTGACTGGGGTGTTTGCTCGTCGACTGAGAGATGTGATGTTGTAGAAGGCTGAGAATCGCGGTGTCGCGACGCTTATCGATATGCGACAACCACGTGTAATAACAGTTACCCTGGTCATGGTCATAATCCATGGTTTGTTTTGCGTAATTGATACGGATATCTGTCTACCGATTGTATACCAAGTTTCGAGCAACCTGGTCTACACGTCAACTCAAACAGATCTTGGTTATCTGATCTACACAGTATACACAGTATACTGCCATGCTTTAGTAGAGGGGTTTGATATATATGCAGTATATCACTCAAATAAAAGAGCAAACAATCACCAATTCAAGGTGCTGTAGTGTAGTGGTTATCATGCTTCGTTGTGGTTAGTTCCGCAGCCCCGAATCGACCTGGGTTCGATTCCCAGCAGCGCCAATGGCGTTAGATAACTTGATTGGTCTCTTTTTTTTGCATTTCTTAGATGCATGTTCCCTATCTTATCTACTACCTACCCCCTTTCTTTTTTGGTCGTCTGTATGTATAGATAGGGGTGGGTGATTTGCACTTTGAAGCCCCTATAATGATAACCCTAATCTTATTTTTTCTGTTGATCAGGTGGAGTAGAGCGAACACCTTTTAGTGTCCAAGGAAAGCCGGTGTGACAAAATCTCCTTGATTTACCTCTCGATATTACACACAGAGTAGCCGATATATATATATATATGGCCTTATCTCTCAAGAAAGTCATTACTACCTGCCAGTGTAAATAATTTAGTCATTCCCCCTTACCTGTACTGCATAAATAGTAGTTGATAGTGAAGATAGCCCAGTGGAATGATTACCCACACAACAGATAGTATACGGACAATAACCCCCAATACTCCATGCAACCCTGTAGATACCGTACACAAAGAGAGCCAGTTCCGCCCATCCACCCCACAACCCGAAGATGAGCCCCGGTTACATACGTATGTTCAGCTAATTAAAGAACAAATCGCACACCGTACCTGAGTTAGACGGTCTAGAATGAATGAACCCTAAGCGAAACGGTAGAAAGGTGTTTATAGTATCGCCGGCGAGGCTACGGCAATCTAAAACCATCTCTAACATGCCTAGATACCATTTCTAGGCACACGAACTCCAGAACCACAAGCCGAGGTTCGCGAACAAACCCCAATTGGCTACCTAAGATAGGGTTGATTGCTGTATCCCTCATGTGACCCGACAGAGCTGCATGATCTAGGTTGACCCTAATGCAATCAATAAACGTAATGCCCGCCCAAAATGGTATAAACCAAAACACCAGCCTGGAAACTTGTGTCAAGCCAAGTCCTACGGAAAGTCCAGACTCGTCCTGTGGTTGTGTACGGGTGCAAGTGGTAGAACATGTAGGCCGTGAGGCCAGTCACTGGGAGTATGTTGTATAGATTAAAACCCATATACACCGTAAGATGCAAGTAGCAAATGCCCTTAGTTCTAGACACGTGGTTTCAAGAGCCAGAACAACTGGTTCCTGTCCTCTATCAAAGCTTTCCGCGACCCCATATTCTATTGAAAATTTTCGACATTTTTTGGTTCGTTTGTCCCTCTTCACTTTTGATGTCTCCTGTACTCCATGCTATCACTTCATCCCGCTTTCCAGCAAACAAATGTATTCGACAGGGTAGAATAGCAGAGTTCCGGCCAATTTCAGATCGGGAGTAGCCCCTGAAACATGAAACAATTATTACAAGACAGAGAAAGGAAGGATAATGGGTGCCAAGTGGAGAATATTATCAAGAAAAAAATAAGAAAGTAAATAAAGAAAGAAGAGAATAGGAATCTCTACTCCTCTGGTTCGGGAGAGAAAAGACCTATCCGCAGTCGGTGGGACTGTGGTCAAGTTAGCAAGACATGGGTATGAACATTGGCGGGCCGGAGGGTACGTACAAATGGAAGCTTCGGAATGACCACTCCCAGAGTAGCTAAGAAGTTGATGGTGAAATACGTCAAGTCGTAATGGGTATAATGCGTGCTGAGAAGGAAAAGACAGATCGGCACGCATAGCAAGAACTTCTTCGTCGGGGTATATTGATCTCCGTTGTCAATTTGCTCCCACATGTTGAGATTATCATAGGCACCCGCATTGAATTCGAAAGGGATGCCCCGCACCCAGTGGAACATAAGAAACGAGCCGAACATGTAGCTGATATTGGTCAGGGTCCATGAGGTCTCCTGCGAGACCCCGGGAATAATGTCGTAGAAGATCTTCAAGGCAACGATTAAAACGAAATGAATGGTCCAGGCACCTGTTACGAGCAGTCTCCGGTTAGCTTCCCCGGTACCATAGTATGCATGACAGACATGTCGATGCACTCACCCTTGGCATTGACCCAGTTCGCATTTAGATTGGGCAAGGCAGCCTGGTCGCTGGTGCGCTCAATGGATTCCGGCGGCTCCTGATAAATGATACTGCTTGACCGTCTCCTCCGTCCACCCTTGTTCTGGGACATGCTGGAAACCGGACTCAACCGTTGCGGTTGAGTATCCACCCCCGGGGGGAAGGAAATGGTACGGGGAACTGCGAGGGAAGACACTTTGGCGGTATTGAACGGGGTAGGACCGTGGGATCGAGGAAAGATGATGGGAGAGGAGAAGGCGAAGAGAATGATTGATTGGGGAGAGGGTCGGAAAAAAGAGCGGCCAAGACAGTCCCAAATCGGGTGGAATCACAGTCTGTAGCTAATACGTAAGTAAGTTGTTTGCTAGCTAATGCAGAAGCAGCAGAGGATCTGATCCGTCTTTCAGTTCACTTCCGACCGTCAGATTGGATGATCGGCAGCTGTTTGGGTCACGGGATGGTCACCAATCCGAGGGGGGGCAAAAATGGATGAATTTGGGGGTATTTTTAGGCAGAACGTACTCCGGAGTAAATTCAGTGTCACAAAAAAAGTAGTTGATGTGAAAAAAGAGAGCGTGGCGATTGTGTTTAGGGGTTTCTGTACACAAAGATAGTCTTCCGTTGAAAAGATTCAAGATACAAAACAGAAATAATGGAAATAATGGGAATGTTTTGGGGGAATGTAAAGATATATAAAAAGTCGAATATTCAATGCCAGGACAAAGAGGGGGGCAAAGGAATAAAAGACAACAATAATACCAATACTAAGGTAAGGTACGGAATAAACCCCTACTAAGAATAGTCCGAAACGGTCCAGAAGCAACCGAAGAACAAATGAATAAGTTAATTTCGATTTATCTTTCTTCCCACTAAAATATTAATAGAATGATCGAGACTTTGTTGTAGTTTAACATCTACAGCTTGCGTACACCAGATTGTTCTAGACAGCAGCTTTGTATCTCCACCAGTTCAAATGTTCTATACTCTATAATCTTCTTCGATGAACTTTGTTTTCTATTTAAAATGTATGCACATTCATCTCACCATACCCTGTGGGGTTGATAGACCCTGAAATTGCCTGTAGTATTGGGTATTTTCCAGACAAGTAGTAGTACAGTGATAAACATGCATCATACAGCGCAGTATACTGCCGGGCGGAAGTTCTTCTATCCGATCCTGCATCGATGGTCACTATCAACTACCGTAAATTTTAAGAAACTAACACTCCACCCCAGGTAATTCTTCCTCATTTCACGCGTTTTCTAATAGTCTTTTCTGCGCTTCAGCCCCTGGTCACAGTATGCCTGATTCACCAGGTGAAGACAATAATGATTCCAGAACAGCCTCATTTGGTGTGCAACGCAATCGCGCCACCAGCACCAATGGCTCGCGACAGAGCTCCATAGACAGCAATTCGCACCCCAGGAAAAGACAACGAAGAAATGGAAAGGCGGGGCCTACAGATGCGCGCGACTTTGTCCCTCAAGGTGCCACATTCAGTGCAAATACGTTGGCGGTAGACCCGGATAGTACGTCCAGCTCTGGCTCCTCGGGCAGCGACGATGAATCCAATTTCTCGGATGATGGAAATGAGGCTTCCTCACAGGTTGAGCCCCAATCCGCAGCTGCTCCTAACTGGAATAAGGCCAGTAGAAGCACCATCAGGACTTCCTTGAACAAACGGGGAAACAAGGAAAATGAGGTTGAACAGGATTCTCGGTTTGATGCGGTCAACGATAAGTACTGGCGCAGTCGCAGCGAATCTGTTTCGACTGGCGGCGACAACGATGATGTGTCACAGATAAACAGTGACGATGTTTCAGAGGAGGGAGAAGTACAGGAAGATGATACCTCCGACTCCAGCCGAATGCATCTATCAGGGGACTCCGACGACTCATCTCTGGATTCAGAGGCCGACGACTCGATACTGTTGAATATCAATTCCCGAGGTCAGACACAGCATGCTAGTCAGAAACAAAATGGGGGGCTATCACTGCCAGACGACGAGTACGATCCGGAGTCTCTTCCGGTTCCTCAAAGTATTGCCAACGGACACACCTTTGACGGGGCCAGAGATGCCGCTTCGTCGACGTCGAAGGAGGAGGCATTCCGTCATTTCGCCCAAAAATACCCCACAAACCCCGAGACACTTGCTGATCTTAATCGGGAAGACATGGAATCCCAAGCCAAGTATATCTTCTACGATCGCGAGATCAATGACATCAACCTGCAATTACCAGTCACTTGCACTGAATGCATGCGGGAGGGCCATCTTGCGGAAGTGTGTCCATACAAAGAGGTGCGTTCTGAAACTTACCAACCCGCTTTTCAGGAACTTTTCTGGACTACATTGGAGACAATGATTGCTGACTACTTATAGTGTGTGCATTGCGGTGCTTGGGATCAACACCAGAGCAGTTTCTGTCCTTCGTGGAGAAGATGCCAGAAGTGTCGAGAGCGTGGTCACGATCAGCAAGATTGCTCTTCGCTCTTGAAAGGTTCCGCATCTGAGATCCCCTGTGATCTGTGTGGATCTTCGGCTCATTTGGAGCTCGAGTGTGATTTCATGTGGAAAGCTCATCGACAAGAGCCGTCGTCCGGGCCCGTACATGTATCCATATCTTGCTCTCATTGTACTAGCAACCACCATTTGGTCGGTGACTGCCCATCCCTACCACAACCTTTGAAATCTTCGTCTTGGACCCTGAGAGGAATTGATCCGAATATGGTCACCAATATCAATTCCGTGGTCAAAGGTAGAAGCGGAGGGCCTTCCTCTAGAGGTCGAGGTGGGATGAAAATTAGGGGCCGTGCGGATGCACACTCCTCCCCGGATGACAGCGACGACTTGATAACCAGACGACGTCCCGTCGGCCGTGGTGGAAACCGAGGCAACATTCGAATTGGTAGTGGAATTGGAAAGAATAAGAACCTAGCGCCAGCCGGCTCGCGAGGCCCAGATATGGATTCTCGTCAGTTTTACAGGGATCGTCAGGATTTCCATCCAGGCAACGCACGCCAGCGCTCCTTGTCTCCCAACCCGCGCCGCGGAAGAGGCAAGGATAGCTGGCAACCTGCACCTCGTTCGCCCCCACGAGGCCAGTCCAGACCGCCTCCTCGTGGGGGAAGAGGCGGTGGTCGGGGACGTGGCGGACGTGGCAATGGTAATAAACGAGGGGGTAGCAGCGATGCTTATCGTCCAATGCCGAGTGCCGCTAAAAAGGCTTGGGATAAGTACAGGCTCTGATGTATGAATAACTAATACAACACAGGTGGTTGCTCGTCTGGTTGCATATACTGCGACATTCCACTTACGCTTGGCGCCTATAGCAACTTAATTGGTGTATGATACCCTTGGCTAACATACATATTTACTGTTGATGGCACTTGTGATGCACTTCAATGTTATTTGATGTGTATTTGGAACCTCGTGCCTGAGCCTTTGGTCAGGTCTCTATCTACCAAGGCAACTATGTCCGTACATGATCCACGACGGATACAAGCAGCCATACGGGCCGTGGCAATAAACAGCAGCATGCCACATGAATTACATGGGCCAAGAGGGTTCAGACTGTTTGTCTAATCCTGAATCTAGGCATACCGATGGCTGCCAGGCATCAGTGACAGGGTATGGTATAAGCCGACCCACTAGTCACTGGTAGGAACCTTGTCACCATCACGGTTTCCGACAAAACCTCCATCTAGGATGTCGATGAGCTCATCTAACCGCTCAATGCACAGATCCGTATGGGGATGCTCCTTGAGATGAACGTTGTGGTCGTTCAGGAGCAAGACAGTCGCAGCGCCTGCTGTGTGGCCAGCAGTCATATCATCGATACTGTCACCAACCTAGCATCATATCAGTCTCAGAAAAAAAGGAAAATGACCTGGAATGCAAAAGAAAAAAAACCCACCATGATTAGATTCTCTCCTCGACTATCCAGTCCCCATTCATGAGCAATATGCAATATCCCCGCTGGATCGGGCTTAGGCATTAACCCCGGGGTCTCTCTTGTAATGATTGGAAGAAACACGTGAGCAGGAAGATGATTATCTAGAAGATGCCGTACTGGTGTTCTGCCACAATAGTATTAACCTTGACCATCCACTCTACTCCCTACATCTAGTCTTCGGGGGTGGGAGGGGGAGAGGGTGAAGTAAACCGTCTTACTCAAAATTCCGTGTACAAAGCGCCCTCTTGACTCCCCGTTCGTGGAGGTAATCCATGAGCTCCACTAGTCCCGGCTGAGGCTCCTGGCTTTGCATAGCCTCTCGCTCGATGGTCTTGATCTTATCTGCGGCTTCGAGCTGTTGCTCGGGAGTTGGGAGACTGCTAATATGGTGCAAGATGTCGATCTCCTTGTGGAGGATCCCAAGAGACTCTCTGTAGAACATTTAGTGCACATCACGTAAGATGGAAAACGCATGTCAGATAGTAGCAACACACCGCATCTTGACAAACATGTGGTTCTGAGGAAGACTGTGTATACATCAGTTGATCAACAGAACGAGCCACCGAGACAGGGATCATGGAATGGAAGTATCAAGTACCATAACGTTCCGTCCACGTCGAAAACGATCCCCTTCAGCGGCGGGGCACTCGATGTCCCCTTTCTCTCCGGGTTAAGAGGAGCGAATCGTCGCTGACGAAGGGGGTAAATCTGAGCCGAGGCCATGATGCGTCCGAGTTGCGGCAGGGACCGCGGGGCGAACATTCGAGCTGGGGGAGGGGGGACGTTGGAGTGGAGGTTCAAGAGGTTGTTTTGATGTGGTGTGGTTCGACGAAATGGCGGAGATAAGATTGATAAGGTTTTGGAGTGCGGAGATTTCGGAAATACTCCTAGATGATCAATACTCTTGTTGAATAGCTTGACTTGACTACCTCTAGCTATTCCCTATACTGCTGCCTCGAAGGATATTCGACAGCATCAATAGCACCATTGTGGTGAGTATAGTAGACAGAGTCTTTGCATTCACTGTGTCCCTGGCTGTATCAATAAATATAGTATCCATACTCTACAATGAAGCTGTGGGCTGTTATGTGTTACTGACTCTTTGTTTCAAGTAGGTACTTGGGGTTGCTTCATTTACTATACAACAAGAACCACAGCC